TTTTTTTTTACAATTAGAAAAATCCGTCCGCCACTTGTGATGACCTACCACTGAATTAACTTCAACTGATATAATAAAGGGATATAAAATTTACTATAATAAAGCAAATTTTTTTTTATAACAGTTTTTAATATACTTCATAACATAATCAATATTCCCTCGAAATATTGTAAAAATAAATATATTTTTAACAAATAGAAATTAATCCATGAAAAAAAGTTTTATTTAAAAAATATATATATATATATATATATATATATATATATATATATATATATATATATATAATAATAATAATAATAATAATAATAATAATAATAATAATAATAAAGTCCATATATACTTTTTAATATATTAAAATGTATTTCTTGATGATTTTCAAAAATCTGGGTTGCAAAAGAAGTTTCAAAAATTACTAAACAAAAACTTCAAAAATAATTTTATATTAAAAGATGCTTTGAAATAAAAAATAAAAAATAAAAAAAAAAACTCTTGTAAAAACATTTTTAATTTTTATTAAAAAATATTGTTGCAATATAATTCAAAATTATAATTTTCATATTTTGAAATTTTAAGAGTAATCTAGCCAATAATATTTAGTTTCACTCAATCTTACTTAGCAATTACTCTCTAATGATAGCTCTAATAATGATGATGATGATGATGATGATGATGAATACTGATAGTATAACAGAGAATATATAATATAATAGTATAACAGTACATAACTGTAAATAAATAACAGCATAACAGTACATAAGTTTACATGAGTGACCATCACGACAATATGTTTTTTTTTTTTTTTTTTAACATCTTCACTTCCAACAAGGCTGCAAGCAACCACTATAAGAGTTGGAAGTTACTGGAAGAGAAAAGACTAAATCTGTAGAGCAAGATAACGATTGACTGATGACTTAAAAGATTGCAAATTATATGAATCAGGAAAGCAAGATGAAGGAAGCGAATTCCAAAGAACTGATGTTCGAGGAAAAAAACTAGAAGAATAAGAGTTTTTGAAGCACTTAGGAACAGTCACAGAAAAAGGATGAGACTTAATTGAATGGCGAGTAACCTGAGAATGAATTTTAGTAGATGGCACAAGGGACGCTAGCTCTTTAGAGCAGTGCCCATTATAGTATTTGTAGAAAAGAGAAAGAGAAGCAACATTACGACGATGTGACAAAGGTTGGAGATTGGCTGCCAGAGCAGGTCCAACTATGTTTACAATTCGTTTTTGCACCTTGTCTAAAAGAGAAAGAGCATCATTAGAAGATCCACCCCAGATGTGGCAACAGTATTCCATACAGGGACGGATTTGAGATTTATAGAGATAGAGAATAGAATCTGGAGTAAGAAAGTGTCGAGCTCGATAAAGAGATGCAACCTTAGCAGATGCTAATTTTGCAATGGATTTGATATACGGTTTAAAAGAAAGGTCAGAAGTAAGAGTTAATCCTAGAAGATGAATGGTAGATAACTCATCTAGTACATTACCATTCATAAATATAGGAAGACCTAAATTATTACGATAACGGTTGGCCGAATAAAATTGAGTTTTATCTGAATTAAAGTTCACCAGCCACTGTGAGCCCCATGCTGTAGCAGAAGTGAGATCCTTTTCAAGCTCAGATACCCCCTCCAAGCAATCAGAGAGTGTAGGCTTCTTATCATGACAAGAGTAAATGGTAGTGTCGTCAGCGAATAATGCCACCTTAGATGTGAGAATATCTGGAAGATCGTTAATGTAAATTAAAAAGAGTATAGGGCCAAGGATTGAACCTTGAGGAACCCCTGAAGTTACAGGATGTGAAGAAGAGTGTTGTCCATCGAGGACAACTTTTATACTACGATTGGAAAGAAAGGACTCAATAATCTTAAAGACGTTACCAGCTACACCATAAGAAGAAAGCTTATGGAGAAGACCAGCATGCCAAACTTTATCAAAAGCTTTAGAAATGTCAAGTGCGATAGCCTTAACCTCTCCACCTCTATCTAATGCACAGTAAAACCTATCGGTTATTACTGTTAGCACATCAGCTGTAGAACAAGAAGACCGAAATCCATATTGATGATCAGAAAGTAAGTTATTTGATTCAAGATGAGAGATTAAGTGTTTGTTGATTAAAGATTCAAAAACTTTGCTTATGACAGGAAGAAGACTAATGGGGCGGTAGTTAGATGAATCAGATCGCTCTCCGGAATTTTTGAAAATAGGGATAACAGATGCTGCTTTCCAGCATGATGGAAAACAAGACTCTGATAAGCACTTGTTAAATAGTTTAGAAAGTATGGATGAAAGCTCCGGAGAACACCTCTGCAAGACTACAACATGAATGTTGCCAGGACCACAAGCTGTTAAAGAGTCTAAGCAGGAAATTACTTTAGATACAGAAGCTGAAGTGATGCAAATGTCAAGCAAGGGATCAACCTGTTTGACGGCTATGTCAGGTAAAACGCAACTAGTGGAATCAAGAGATGATATTGATGAAAAGTTCTTAGCAAACTATTCAGCTTTGTCTTTAGGTGAGGTGACAAAGTCTGAACCATACAAGAGAGAAGGAATAACAGATTTGCCCTTATTATTGATACTGTTAAAGATTCTCCAGAAGTCTCGAGAGCCTAATTTTTGTGATAGATACGAGATTTAATGACCTGGGAAAAGCGAGCTTTGGCGTCAGACAAAACCTTTTTACAATGGTTTCTGGCGATAGTGAACAGATGTCTGTTTTCTGGAGAATTGTTTTGCTGATAGATATGGAAGTAACGGTTTCGATTAGAAATTGCTGCAGCGCAATGTGAGGAAAACCAAGGAGAAGAGTGAGGCTTGACCTGGAATCGTCGAGAGGGAATAAAAGATTCCATGCCAGCCTGAATCCACGAAGTTATGTAAGAAACACATTTGTCAGCAGGAAGACGAAAGATTTCTACCCAAGGGCCATCACGAAGAAAATCACGGAAAGAGTCCCAGTCAGCTTTAAGGTAGTTGTATGTGGTACGATGATAGGGGATTCTGATGAAGTAGAAGAATTTGATAATAGTTTTAGAGAGATCAAACCGTGATCAGAAGTACCTAAGGGTGAATGTGGAGAAATTGAGCACTGACTAGGATCCAAATCAAGACATAAGTCGAGTAGAGAAGGTAAATGATTAGGGTTGTCTGGAAAACGAGTTGGAAAGTTGACTATTTGAGTTAGAGATTGAGAGAGGCAAAAGTTAAGGGCCTTAACGCCAGCAGAGTCACTGACACTAGAGCCAAGCCAATCGGTGTGATGGGCATTAAAGTCACCAACAACGACGATATTGGCCGATGGATAAAGAGAGAGGGCTTGGTCAATTTGATCAGAAATAACATCAAGAATAGTGCAATCTTGGGATGAAGGAGAGCGATATAGAACAAAGAGAAAGGCGATAGAGTGAAGTTGTGTTAAACGAAAGCACATAAATGAATAGTCTGTAGATTCAAACCTAGTTTCATGACAAATGGGTGAGTTCTTACGAATGTAGATGCCCAGCCCAAGCATGTGATTATTGGAGTCTTTACGAATTAAAGGAAGATAACCATCAACACTAAGATCACAAGATGGGACAGCCAAACTCAAATTAGTCTCACAAAGAGCAAGTAGGTCTGGTGAACTTTGCAAGAGATAAGACTCAACAGAAGAAAAGTTACTTCAAAGACCACGAATATTAGTAAATGATAGGTTTAGAGAACTTGGTGATGACGATGGTTTTTTGTGTTTTTTAGTTTTTTTTAGTACTTTAGTCATTTTAAATTTATAAAGAACTTGACTCAAGTATAGATAGTACTCAGTACACTATTTAACAACTAAGCAATAGCCTCATTACTATTAATAAACCCTAAGCCGTAACAAAGGGCTCCAAATGTGGCCTCTGCAATGCACACCAAAAGTACAAACAGGGACACCATCCATGCGCAACATGGCACTGTTAGTACTCTGATATTTTTCGGCTGTTGATGGAATCAGCCTCTCTGAGAGCTACCACAGAGTTCGGGAAACCTGACTACCAGCCGGCCTCAGAACCATAAAACTGAGTTTTTGAGCTGTACCCTCATTAGGAGATAATAGAATGAGTTGCCCAGTCATAAAAATAGAGACACAAGCAATACCCACGCATTGAGTCAAGAAGATCCAGCGTTCAACATCCTAAACTGGAAACAATGTATTAAAAATACATCTGTGCCAGCCTAATAGATGAGGAAGGGGTGCGAGGCTGGTCAACAGATAGAATCTGTTTACCCCTTAAAATATGGTTGAAGACAATATGGTTGAAGTTTAGACAATTTTAAATAGAGTTTTTTCGAAAACCAATTGTCAATTGTTAGGATTTTTTTTAATGATGCTTACATAATTATAATTTTTTTAATTCTTATTGGTTTTTGCAATGTTGAGTAAAGAACCTGAAAATCAACAAGAATTTTGAAATTATAAAGCAAAACGTTATAAGCTTCTGATTAATTTAGGTACATTTGAGTTGAAAATTAAAAAGTACAAACAAACAACCTTATTTGGGCTAGATCTGGTATCGATCCACTATTCCAAATAAGTAATGCAGTGGTATTAGATAAATAGTGTCAACTTTTATCAAAAAGATGCACCAAACTGTCCTGAGCAGCGAGCTATCAAATCTTACTGTGCATTTGTGAAGGGAATATTGAGGAAAATTATTGAATTTCTTTGATGGATAAATTAAATGCGCTTGAATAAATTATAAAGTCTGTATATTGCATCGCATATTTAGAAAGACTTAAAGCAGTTGGTTAACACAGAGATGGTGAGCATCAAGTAAAACAACAAAGTTAGTTTTTCTTGATATACATTTATTATTTTGTTTTACTCAAAAAAATTTCAGCCTAAACATTTTTTTTATCATCCTCTTTAATATGAACACAACTTGTCTCTGCACTTTAGGATCCATTTAATTGAACATGGTTGAAATGAAACTACAAAATAAAAAATACAAAAAACATGAAAACTTACATGATGTTTTAGTAAATTATTGCCATGTGTGCGATACTCTTTACTGTATGTGCTTTCAATATGTTGATGTTCTAGAAAGCATTTCTTGCAAAGATTAGTTGAATATTCTTTTAAGTCAGAAATAAAAAAGTGTTTATTACATCCTATGCATGCAACTGAGTTTTGATAGTAGCTTGAAGCAAATGAGTCAGCAGTTTGAAGTTTGGTTCTTGTTTCTGTCTGTGTTTCTGACTCAAGCAACTTTTTATCTGACAAATCTAATGGTGGTGAATAGCTCATTGCAGATATAAAACTACTATTGTCAACACTTTTTTTGTTTGAACTTTCATTTCCAATATATGTCATTTTGGAAGAACCTTGTGTAAAGTTTTCTGAATATTGTGTGTCTATTAATCTTTTATCAAACACATTTGGTACGTTTTCATCAAAATCATTTTTTGAAAATAATTTAATTAGTTTTACAGAATTTGCTAAAGGTGATTTAAATTTAAAAAAGGCAACTTTTATTTTTTCTTCAATGTATGATATATCTAAATAATCTAAAAGAACTTTGTCTTGATTCTCTGAAGGTAACAAAAAATGTACTTTGAAAGGCATTAAATTATTGTTGACTAAAGGAACGCAATGCAATGCAGAGTCATCATAACAAATATTTGATAGCATTGTAATAACACTTTCACAACTAAAAGCAGGAGAGAAATGGTAATTATAATAGACAAGAACAATAGGTGATCGAAAACACTCTTTAGACTGTCGTAACAATGGTAAATAAATACCACCAATGATATTATCAAATTGTTTTTCAGATAGGATAATTATTGGTCTTCCTAATATATTTGCCATAACAAATATATGAAAATTGCCAAGTTCACTAAATTTTGTTGTTTTATCAGAATAAAAGTATTTTCTATCCGATGCTAGTTCCTGAAGACGATTCCAACCATGAAGCAAGTTACTTTGTTGTGAATGCTTTATCCAACGTATTCCCATTTGTCCTAATATAAAAATCAAATTTATTTTATAAACATAAAACAAAATTTAAACAATATAAAAAGACAACCCCCTGTAACAGCAGAAAAATTCAATTTCTAAATACAAAACAAGATTTCAACAAAATAAAGTGACTACCTCCTATGTATGTACCAAGAAAAATTACCTAGAACAATTTTGCAGATAGAATAAATTTTACAGCATACTCTTATCTTGATATTTAAATTTAAATTTTTTAAATTTATTTTTGAGACTTGTATAGTACCTAATTATATAATACCTATTGCATGATATTCACTTTTCATATTGCACCATGTTCACCGGAGAAGATGCCAAACTTTATCAAAAGCTTTAGAAATATCAAGACCGATAGCCTTGACCTCTCCACATCTGTCTAACGCAAGATAAAACCTTTTGGCTAATACTGTTAGCAGCTGTAGAACAAGAAGATCGAAATCCATATTAGTGATCAGAAAGTAAGTTATTAGATTCAAGATGAGAGATTAAGTGTTTGTTGATTAAAGATTTGAAAACTTTGCATATGATAGGAAGAAGACTAATGGTACGGTACTTAGACAGGTCAGATCGCTATTCAGAGTTTTTGAAAATAGGGATAACAGATGCCAGCAGGTCAGAAAACAAGATCCGATAAGCATTTGTTAAATGTAGTGATGTACTGATTAATCAGCATCAGCTGAATCGGCCACTTTTAGCACAATTGGAATTGGAATCGGCATCAGCCTTTTTTTATTAATTTATTGATTTTTCAACCAATGTTATTTAACTATTTTTTTTTATTGATAATAATTAAATAATAAATAAACTAAACTTTATGCATTACTTAGAACTTTTTTGAGAAATTGTTTATATTGACTTTATTTACAGGCAAACTTGTTTATTCTTAAGATGATGTTTATAAAATCTAACAGCTGAATGTACTTATACTTTTATTACCATGTTGTTTTTATAATAATTTTATTTTGTATTGTTCTATCGTTATACCTAAAAGTAACCTAATTAAGCATTAATATTTATATGTATTCAAGTATAGCCTTCTATATTTCTATATGATTTACTTATATATCTAAACTACTAATAAATTAATAAAGTTACAGAATCATCTTAATACCATTTGTTTTTAATTGATAAAAAGCATTCCTCTAAAATTGTATTTATTTTCAGAAAGTATTCTTTTCATAGTAAAAAAAACTAAAACATGTATATCTTTTTAACTGAGTTTTTTTAAATATTTTTTAAAATAATGGTTTGCCTCTTCTTTGGGTCCAAGCATTTAATTACCAGTCTATCTGCATCATAATCGGCATTGGACATAAATGTGCTATTGGTACATCACCAGGGGTCAAAATAAGTGCAAGACATTGCCGCCCTTCAGACCATTTTTGAGACCTGCTAGATGAGGGCAACCAACCATTGTTCATTTTTACTGCAAAAATGAACAATGGTTTGTTGCCCTCATCTAGCAGGTCTCAAAAATGGTCTAAGGGGCAGCAATGTCCGGCACTTATTTCGACCCCTGTACATCATTATTAAATAGTTTTGAAAGTATAGACGACAGCTCCAGAGAAAACTTCTGCAAGACTATAACAGGTATGTTGTCCTGACCACAAGCTAAGACAACAAGAAGAGTCTACGCAGGAAATTACTTTAGATACAGAAGGTGGAGTGATATGAATGTCAAGCAATGGATCAATCTGTTTTTTTTATTTTTATTTTTTTTAATTTTAATTCACCTCCTCAAGGCCGAGAAGGCCACTACAGACGAGGAGGCTACTTATTTGTGGTTATAACCCTCTCTCAACTCTATAACTCTGAAACACGAACCTTGACGAGCAAGGCCGCTGCGCGGAGAAATGAGTTGAGCGCAGTACTACCAGGGACGTGGTGGGGATCGAACTCGGAACCACTCGTTTATGAAGCGAGGGCTCTACCACTACACCACTACCGCATTGTTACCGTTTGTTGGCAATATATGGTAGAATGCAACTAGTGGAATCAAGAGATGATATTGATGAAAAGTTCTCAGCAAACAATTCAGCTTTGTCTTAAGGAGAGGTGACAAAGTCTGAACCATACCAGAGAGGTTGATTAACTGATTTGCCTTTGTTATAGATACAGTTAAAGACTCTCCAAAAGTCATAAAAGCCTAATTTTTGTGATGAAATACAAGATTTTGTGACCTGAGAATAGCGGGACAACAGTAACCATTGTATATAAGTTTTGGCATCAGACAAAATCTATTTACAATGGTTACTAGCAATAGTAAACAGACATCTGTTTTCTGGAGAATTGTTTTGCTGATAGATATGGAAGCAATAGTTTTGATTGGAAATTGAAGCAGCACAAGTGAGGAAAATCATGGAGAAGAGTGATGCATGACTTGAAATTGTTAAGAAGGAAATGAATATTACATGCCAGCCTAAATCCAAAAAGTTACATAAGAAGCACATTTGCCAGCAGGAAGAAGAAAGAACTACCCAAGGGCCATCACAAAGAAAACCATGGGAAGATTCCCAGTCAGCTTTAAGGTAGTTGTAAGAGGTATTATAATAAGGGGATTCTGATGATGAAAAAGAATGAGATAATAGTTTTAGAAAGATCAAACAGTGATCAAAAGCACCTAAGGGTTAATGTGGAGAAACTGAGCACTGACTAGGATCAGAAACACAACATAAGTTGCGGTAGTGGTGTAGTAGTTGAGCGCTCGCTTCATAAGTTTGAGGTTCCAAGTTCGATTTCCACCATGTCCCTGGTAGTACCACACTCAACTTGTTTCTCCGCCCAGCGGCCTTGTTCGTCAAGGTTCGTGTTTCAGAGTTATAGAGTTGAGAGAGGGTTATAACCACAAGTAGCCTCCTCATCTGTAGTGGCCTTCTCGGCCTTGGGGAGGTGAATAAAATAAAAAAAAAAAAATTAAGTAGAGAAGATAAATGATTCGGATTGTCTGGAAAGCAAGTTGGAAAGTTGACTATTTGCGTTGGAGATTGAAAAAGGCAAAAGTTATTAGCTTTGATGCATGCAGAGTTACTAGAGCCAAGCCATTCAGTGAGATGAGCATTAAATTTACCATTAACAAAGACATAAGCTGATGGATAAAGAGAAAGAGCTTGGTCAATTTGATCAAAAATAGGGATTTTTTCTTTCCAGAATTTTACGGAATTCCAGCCAGAATTCCGTTCCAGCCAGAATTTGTAATTTTCAGATCAATCTGATTCCAATTGGAATTATAATATTTAAGGCCGGTATGGCGGAAGTGTTTTTTACTTTTTTTTAAAGATTTGTGACACAAACTGTGTAAATTAAAACAAAAAACCGTTGTACTACAGGGCAACGAAGAACTCTACATAAACCTAGGTAAAAAAATACAAAATTCTAAACAAACATAATGTAATTTTAGGTAAAGTTACAGTTAAGCGGTCTGAAATTTTATTTTTTTGTTTGCTGCGTTCTCCTCAGTGGAGGCTTTTTATACAGGAATTTTAATAATAAAAAAAAATATTGCTGCCCCATGCCAAACCCTTAGTTGATATAGCAGCACTTCTTTGTAGCAGTAGGCTATAAGATAGTGGATATAGCAATACTCCCTTGTAACAGCAGACTATAAGATAATCAATGTAGCAGCACTCCCTTTTTGTAGCAGGCTATAAGATAATCAATGTATGTAAGATTCTTTATTTTTATATTAAAAAGTCACCACTTTAAGCAAGTCTACAAAAGAAGGCACCACTAACCAAAAAATGAAATTATTTTAGACCGCCTAACTGTAGCTTTGTCTAAATTTATTTGCAGTAATCACTTATGTGAGGATATCTAAAAGTTTAGGAATATTGTGGTGCAAAAATAGTTGCCATCCATTTTTTAGTAACAAACAAGCTCTTTTTTCATCAAAAATGTTACCCACCTATGAGAATAGTCTCATTTTTAATGTTTCTTAACTTTTAAATAGTTAAAAAGTATAGGATGCTTAATACAGTAAATATTTCAATTTTAACCTAAATGTAAAAATATAAAACAAAGAAAAAATTTTAAATATAAATATTATGCTATAATGCTGAGTTGCAGACTTTCACTATTAATCTTGAAGGTAAAAAATTACATAAATATAATTCTTTTTCCAGCCAAAATTCCAGCTGGAATTTTTGTAACAATTCCAGCAAATCCGGTTCCAGCCAGATTTCAAAATTTCTAATGCGATACAACCCTACTCAGAAATAACATCAAAATGAGTGCAGTCTTAAGATGAAGGAAAGATAAGCGATAAAGATATAAGCGATAGAGTGAAGCAGTGCCAAACAAAAGCACATAACAGAATAGTCAGTGGATTCAAACCTAGTTTCTAAACAAGTGGGTGAATTCTTATGAATGTAAATGCCCAGGCTAATGATTTAACTATTGGAGTCTTTACAAATTATAAAAAGATAACCATCAACACTATGATCACAAGATGAGATAGCCGAACTCAAATTAGTCTCACAAAGAGCAAGTAGGTAAACTGAGATAAAACTCAACAGAAGAAAAGGTACTTAGAAGACCACGAATATTTGTGAATGATAGATTTAGAGAACTTAGTAATGACATGGCCTTTTGTGTTTTAGTTTTTGTCATTTTTAAATTTGTTAAAGAACTCAACTCAAATATAAATAAATATTTTTTTAATTTACATGATAGAACTTAATAAAAATAAAAATGATAAAAAGATAAATTATTAAATATTATATATTTCTCAAAAACAAATTGTTTTTTTATTAAATAGCATTATTATTAGTACAATGAACATTAAGATGAGAGCTGTGCTTGAACTTTTTGGTGCCCTTAAAAATTTTTTTTAAGGGCACCAAAATAACTAAGTTCATTTCTATTAAAATTATACAAATTATAAATCATTAATTTAGCCTTTTTGCTTGCAAAGTCTTGTAAACTAGGTTCTGGTGATTTATCAAGACAATGTATGTTTCTACTTTTTAATATTTGAGTACCATAAGAAGAC